CTTAAGCTGTGTCTTTTGGAAGACTTAAAGGGCCAGTACCTTTGGGAGGTTTTTTAGTGCCAGACATTTAAGAAAATCTTTGTCAGGTCACTAGCTGATCACAGAGGTAACAGAAGTGCAGAAACTTCAGAGACCACACATAACAAGGAATACACACTTTGCAAAAATAGTTTGAAAAAGTCACAAGCTGGCAGCTCCAACCCTCAACGAAGAAAAATCGGCAATCCCTGAGGAGTGGGAAAGTCAGATTTCTAGAGTTATCACATTGGTTTTCAAAGGCGTAAGTTTTAAACATCTCACTGACTGAAGAAATTAGTCACAATTTAAGGAACATTCGATGAATTAATCTGTTAAAAACTAAAATCACACATTAAGATATAAAATTGCACAATATAAATAGTATAATTTAAACCTATATGATTCAGGATTCATGGCATTTCCTTATAACCACTTTCAACTCCTTAATTACTGTCTCTTTCCTGTAAACAGCACCTCTCAGTTCTCAGCCTTATAAGTTATTAAGCAAGGTGCATTTTTATTTTTATTTTTACTTTTTTATTTTTTTTTTTAAGATTTTTATTTACTTATTTGAGAGAGAGAGAGATAGCAAGAGAGAGCATGAGAAGCAGGGAGAGGAAGAAGCAGGCTCCCTGATGCGGGACTCCATCCCAGGACCCTGTGATCACGACCTGAGCCGAAGGCAGACGCTTAACTGACTGAGCCACCCAGGCACCCCAAGGTGCATTTTTATATATTAAACTAACAAAAAGAAAAATCAGTCTGGGTGAGATTATGGCAGAAGTGTTTCATTTACTATCTTATTTTAAATTTGTTTTCATATAAAATTAATGTCTCCAAATAGTTATCAAGTATATCCAATGCTCCAGACACTCCCCAAAGCACCATCTGATACAGGCACTGTAGCTGAGAAGGCATTAAAAGTATTATAGTAGTCAATATGCAGTATTGGTTATAACATCAAATATTTCAGGTTTGGCCACATATGAGGAGCTGGAAAATTGTCTTACCTTTTGACTCAGTAATCTCACACTTAGGAGTGAGGGAGATTTGGGGGAAATAACCCAACAGAAGCAACAGCAGCACCTCAAAATTTGGCCTTAGGAAATAGGGTCACTGCGGATGTAATTACTTAAATTAGGATAAAGTCATAATCAGTAGGGTGGATTTGTAATTCAGTATGACTAGTGTCTTCATACAAAGATGGCCACGTGAAGACAGACACACAGAAAATGCCCTATGGAGGAGGAGGAGGGTCGGAGTGATGCACCTATGAGTCAAGGAATGCCAAAGATTGCTGCAGACCACCAGAAGCTTAGGATGAGGCAGGGAAGGATTCCCTTACAGGTTTCAGAGGGAGTTGGCCCTGGCAACATCATGATTTTGGATGTCTAGCCTCCAGAACTATAAGACAATAAACTGCTATTGTCTTAAGCCACATAGTCTGTGGTGCTTTGTTATGTCAGCCCAAGGAAACAAATACAATGGTCAGTTGATTTTTGACAAGGCTGCCAAGACCAGGCAATGCAGAAAGAACCATCTTTTCAACAAATGATGCTGAGGAAACCGGGTGTCCATATGCAAAATATGCATGTGGACCCTTACCTTACACCATATACAAAAACTAACTTAAAAAATGAATTGAAGACTAAATTTAAAAGATAAGGATACGGAACTCTTTTTTTTTTTTTTTTGAAGATTTTATTTATTTATTTACTTATTTGACAGGGACACAGCAAGAGAGAGAACACAAACAGGGGGAGTGGGAAAGGGAGAAGCAGGCCTCCTGCCTGCAGGGAGTCTGATGTGGGGCTCAATCCCAGGACCTTGGGATCATGACCTGAGCCGAAGGCAGACACAAAACATCTGAGCCACCCAGGTGCCCAAGACTATAAAACTCTTAGAAGAAAACATACAGGAAAATTTTTATGGCTGTGGATGTAGGATTGATTTCTTAAATGGCACCAAAAGCACAGCTAACAAAACAAAAATAGATAAATTGGACTTCATCAATATCAGAAACTTATATATAGCATCAGAAAACACTATTAAGATATTTTCATATTTTTGACAATTTTTCTTTAATTTTCTTTTCTTTTAAAGATTTTATTTATTTATTTGACAGAGAGAGAGACAGCAAGAGAAAGAACACAAGCAGGGGGAGTGGGAGAGGGAGAAGCAGGCTTCCCGCCGAGCAGGGAGCCCGATGCGGGGCTCGATCCCAGGACCCTGGGATCACAACCTGAGCCGAAGGCAGATGCTTAACGACTGAGCCACCCAGGTGCCCCTTCTTTAATTTTCTTAACTACTGGAATTCCCCAAAGTATAGAAATTGCCCTAAATTTAATCATAAATAACAAGAAATAAAGCCATGTTGAAATTACTTTGACAGAATGTGCAATTTGCATTTTAAAAGTGTGTCTGGAAAAATTTATAGTCGATATCTTAAATGTGCTATAAGATTTCTGGAAACTGCCTGCAGCATGTAATATGGAAGGTGTGTATCTTGGTGTGTTTGGTTTGTAATTTCATCTATAGAAAAATAGGAAAATCACTTCTCTGATTTGTACTAATGATAATGGTGATGGTTTGGATCACTGAAGGAAAAAGAAGTAACGTGTTCATGATGTAGGTGAATGCTGTGATTCTCATTAATAGAGGTTGAAAAATGGGGGGAGGGAGGACACTATTAAGAGAGTGAAAAGAAAAACTCACATAATGGTAGAAAATATTTATTTGCAAGTCATGTATTTGATAAAGAATTAATATTTAGAATATATAAAGAACTCCTGCAACTGAACAGCAAAAAACCAAATAACCCAATTCATAAATGGACAGAGGACTGGAATAATATACAAATAGTCAATAAGCACATGGAAAGAGGTACAATATCATTAGCCATTGGGGAAACACATATCAAAACAACAATGAGGTATCACTTCCCACCCACCAGGATGTCTATAATTTAAAAAATGGAGAATTACAGGGCACCTGGGTGGCTCAGTTGGTTAAGCGACTGCCTTCGGCTCAGGTCATGATCCTGGAGTCCCGGGATCGAGTCCCGCATCGGGCTCCCTGCTCAGCAGGGAGTCTGCTTCTCCCTCTGACCCTCTTCCCTCTCGTACTCTCTCTCTCTCATTCTCTCTCTCTCTCAAATAAATAAATAAAATCTTTTAAAAATAAAAAAATAAAAAAATGGAGAATTACAAGTGTTTGCGAGGACGTGGAAACACTGGAACTCTTGTCTACTGGTGGTGGGGATGTAAAATGGTGCAGCCAACTGTGGCAAAAATTTCGGCAGTTCTTCAAAAAGTAGACTTACCAGGTGACCCAGCAATTCTGATCCTAAGCATACGCCCAAAGGGACTGGAAATAGGGACTCAAAACAGGTATAGCAGTGTTTATAGCAGCATTATTCATATCGGCAAGAAGCTGGAAACAACCCAAATGTTAGGAAGTAATGGTGATGGCAACATAGAACATTGTGAACTGTACTTAATGCTACTGAACTGTGCACTTCAACATGCTTAAAAACATGAAAACAAATTTCATGTTACATATATTTTACCACAATTTTTAAAAAGAGAGAGAAGTCAAGGGGTAGAGAGTGTGATAGGTCACGGGATGCAGGGAAGGAAGGAAGCCTGGGAGGGGTTGGTAGGAAGAAAAGGGAATGTTTGAGGGATTAAAGGCTGCAATGAGGTTGAAGGGAAGGCATTTAGAGAGTAAAATTGAGAGAACTGGAATAACAGCAAGAGGTGTTGACTAATATATTGGAATGTTAGAATTTCCGGACTAGGGCGCCTGGGTGGCTCAGTTGGTTAAGCGACTGCCTTCGGCTCGGGTCATGATCCTGGAGTCCCGGGATCGAGTCCCACATCGGGCTCCCTGCTCAGCAGGGAGTCTGCTTCTCCCTCTGACCCTCTTCCCTCTTGTGCTTTCTATCTCTCATTCTCTCTCTCTCTGAAATAAATAAATAAAATCTTTAAAAAAAAAAGAATTTCAGGAGTAGAATGTTTCCAGGTTCATAAAGTTGAGGACATGCCCTTGAATGTGGACTGCTTAAGAAGTGTGGAAAAGGACAGTCTGTGGAATTGAACATGGTGAACCCACACAGGAGGGCACCTGGAAACAGGGTAGAAAGCAAGTCTGAGTTGGATGTCAAAGATTAGTGGTCGAATCTGCAGGAGCCAAAAAGGGAAATGATTTATTTCTACTATATTTCTTAGTTCTGTACTTATATTGCAATGTTGACCCAGAGGTTGTTGAATTTCTTTTTACTGGACACATTTTGATAAGCCTGGTAGGTTGCCAGTGGCTAAGCCAGTCATAAAGTTGAGAGATGTAGAAATAAGTTTAGGCAATATTTCAGCTCTTCTGTAGGTACAGAGGTTTTGATTTGATTGTGTGTATCAGGTACAGCGAAGGGGGAAAGCATTGGCTTCTTGTTTTTTAAAGTGTATAAGCAAGTCTTTAAAGGCCTTTTCATTAAATTTGTTTTGTTTTAGAAGTGTGCACATTGTACTGCTTTAAAAAGTATATCTTGGGGTGCCTGGGTGGCTCAGTTGGTTAAGCGACTGCCTTCGGCTCAGCTCATGACCTCAGGGTCCTGGGATCGAGCCCCACATCAGGCTCCCTGCTCGGCGGGAAGCCTGCTTCTCCCTCTCCCACTCCCCCTGCTTGTGTTCCCTCTCTCACTGTGTCTCCCTCTGTCAAATAAATAAATAAAACCTTTAAAAAAAAAAAGTATATCTTTTCCATTAGAATTTGGTCTAGAATTTCATACTATGTATCATATTATAATTGTTACAAAATGTATTCAGTTTATAAAATAAAAAGTCATTCAGCAAGCCCCATCTAATTAAATCATACTTTGAGATTCCAGTATGCCTCTAATTTTGTTTTCTGTTATGGCAGATCTTTTATTTAATATAGCCTCTGATTGATAGTGAGTCTCAAAATACTGTTTTTGTCATTCTTAGGAAAACAGGAAATCATTTTCACAACTTCATTAGTTGGCAAGACCTGAGAGCTGTTGAACTTATAAAATCTTGGAATAATTCCCTCATAATGAAGGTAATCTTTTTCTTATCTTCTGTGATTTGGATGTTACTATTTTCCCTGTAGATGTCCCTTAACTGTAGGCTTAAGTGTATAATCTCCCACCTGTACTGTTTTAGGACGTTGAGAAGAGAATACACATACGCACACTCCTCACATCAGTGAAACTCTGTAATAGTCACCCAAAAGCATATGAGGTAGACTCAAGTACTTAATTACACTTCAGGAAACCCTGAGGAGGTTTAGGATGGCCCAGATGTTCTCACGTGAGTGAGATAATTCGTGTTGCCATTCTTGGAGAAATAGACAAGATGCAGACTATGTCCAGAAAAAATACAGAAATGTCCAAATTTCATCCTCTTTTGTTATAAAAGTGGAGAATGGATATCGAGATGGATAACTAGCTGACTGCCACGAGCTCTTAACCTGATGCCTACCACGGTGGTCGCAAATGACAAAGCTGATGACCATGACGATGACAGCAGTGGTGGTGGCAATGTACGTGTGGGATTGCTGAGTCAGAGGGTAAGACAATTTTCCAAACGTGGCCAAACCTGCAGTATGTGATGTTACAATCAATACTGCGCGTTCCCTGTTGCATATTGCAATACTACGTGTTCGAATGCCACACAGCTAAATGCCTCCTCAGCCTAGGATGCCTGTGGCAGATGGTGCTTCAGGGAGTATCTGGAGCATCGGTTTTACTCCTTAACCATTTGGAGACATTAATTTTATATGAAAATAAACTTGAAGATGTTATGGAATATATGCATGAGTGAAAGACACTTTTGCCATAATCTCACCCACATTGGTTTTTCTTTTGTTAGTTTAATATATGAAAATGCACCTTGCTTTAATAACTTGTAAGGTTGAGAACCGAGAGGTGCTGTTTACAGGAAAGAGAAATTAAGGAGTTGAAAATAATTGTAAGGAAATGTCATGAACTTTGAATGGTATAATTTAAAATTATACTATTTATAATGTGTAATTCTGTATCTTAATGGATAATTTTAGTTTTTACTAGGTCAATTCGTCAAACATTTCTTAGGTTAGTCAGTGAGGTATTTAAAACTTTTATTCCTTTAAAAATAAGTTTTGACTTTGAAAACATTTACTTCTGTAGGACAAACCCCAAATCTCAAATGTAAAACTGACTTCAAGCACAAAACTCAGCCTTTAAAGCACTTCATCTACTTGATATTGAGTATGTGCATGATGTAAGCTTTGGCTTCTCTTAGGAGAAAAATGTACACAGCTCTTGGAGTTTAGCACACATGATTCCAGGGCCTGTCTTGCCACTGAGAGAACCGTTCCTACCCTGCACTCATCCTATACTGGATGCTTTTTCTTTTTTTTTAAGGATTTTATTTTTAAGTAATCTCAACATGGGGCTCAAACTTACAACCTCAAGATCAAGAGTTGCATGCTCTACCGTCTGAGCCAGCCAGGCACCCCTATCTTGGATGTTCATGGGTTAGTGAGTGAGGCTCATGGAAATGTTGAGGATGTATATGCCAGAGATGAAACCAAAGTCATTCATTTAGCCAGTGCTAGCTCCAAGCAAACTGGTGAAGTATTTGATGTGTGTTGGCAGTCTCCTGGCACCATTGTTTTCCTCCAGTTCTTGCAGCACCCATGCTTCCTCTCACTCTTGTTCTGATTCTTTCTTAAATGGTTGCTAAGGCCTCTCTTTGCTTTTAACATAAAATCCCAACTCCTTACCATGGATTGGCCCTGTCTACAGCTCTGACCACTTCCCAGACCCTTCCTCCCTGAAGCTGCTAAGGATTCAGCTCCAGCTTTGCCAGCGTGGTTTTGTTCTTACAGCACTGAAGCTGTCTCTTATCTTAAGGCCTTCGTACCCTCAAAGGGCTTTCTCCACCATCATGACTGGATTCTTCTCATCTTTCCGGGTGCAACTCCTGTGCCATCTCGTCTGTGTGAGCCCTTTGCTGCCATCCCATTTATAGAGGAGCATGTCCCCACTTCTCAATCCAGTCTCTATCATACTGTCCTTTCTTTCACGGCACTTACAACATTTCAAAGATTTTGAGACATACATTTTTTTTAATTGAAATTTTAATTGAGATAATTATAGATTCACATGTAGTTGTAAGAAATAATACAGGGATCCCTTCTAGGCTTTGCAGTTTCTCTCAATGGTAACATTTTACAAAACTATACTATACTGTCACAATCAGGATATTGACATTAATACAATCTATAGATCTTATTCAGATTTCCCCAGTTTTACTTGTACTTGTGTGTGTGTTATAATTTCTGTACAGTTTTTTTCCTGTGTTCATGTAACCACCACCAGAATCAAGATGCTGAATAGTACCTTCATTACAAGGGTCCCTCATGTTGCTCTTTTATAACCACATCCTCTCTCTTCTGTACACTCCCCATGCTCTTCCCATCCCTCGCTCCTTGCGACCACTAATCTGTCCTCCATTAAATATTTTTTCTCACTTCAAAAATATTGTATATGTAGAGTGATGCAGTGTAAAACCTTTTGGGGTTTCCTTTTTTCACTTAGTGTAATTCCCTGGAGAATCCAAGTTGTACGAGTATCAATAGCTTGTTTCTTTTTATTGCTGAGTTGTATTCGGTGGTACACATGCATCACCTATTTAAGGACATATGTGCAAGTTCCAGTTTTTGGCTATTACAAATAGAGCTGTTTTGAAAATCTGTGTACAGAATTTTATGTGAACATAAGTTTTCATTTCTCTAGGATAATACCCCAGGGGTACAATTAATTGCTAGGTCAAATGGTAATTGCATGTTTTGTTTTATAAGAAACTGTCAGTCTTTTTCCAGAGTAGCTGCATCATTTACATTCTCACCAGCAATGTATGAATTATAAGACATACATTTCTTTTTTCCAATTTAAAAAGGGTGATTTTTAAAAAAATTTTTTATTGTTATGTTAATCACCATACATTACATCATTAGTTCTTGATGCAGTGTTCCATGATTCATTGTTTATGCATAACACCCAGTGCTCCACGCAGAATGTGTCCTCTTTAATACCCATCACCAGGCTAACCCATCCCCCCACCCTCCTCCCCTCTAGAACCCTCAGTTTGTTTTTCAGAGTCCATCGTCTCTCATGGTTCATCTCCCCCTCCGACTTATTCCCCTTCATTCTTCCCCTCCTGCTATCTTCTTTTTCTTTTTTTCTTAACATATGTTGCATTATTTGTTTCAGAGGTACAGATCTGTGATTCAACAGTCTTGCACAATTCACAGCACTCACCATAGCACATACCCTCCCCAATGTCTATCACCCAGCCACCCCATCCCTCCCACCCCCCTCCACTCCAGCAACACTCAGTTTGTTTCCTGAGATTAAGAATTCCTCATATCAGTGAGGTCATATGATAACATGTCTTTCTCTGATTGACTTATTTCACTCAGCATAACACCCTCCGGTTCAATCCACGTCGTTGCAAATGGCAAGATCTTATTCCTTTTGATGGCTGCATAATATTCCATTGTGTATATATACCACATCTTCTTTATCCACTCATCTGTTGATGGACATCTTGGCTCTTTCCACAGTTTGGCTATTGTGGACATTGTTGCCATAAACATTGGGGTGCACATACCCCTTCGGATCCCTACATTTGTATCTTTGTGGTAAATACCCAGTAGTGCAATTGCTGGATGATATGGTAGCTCTATTTTCAACTCTTTGAGGAACCTCCATACTGTTTTCCAGAGTGGCTGCACCAGCTTGTATTCCCACCAACAGTGTAGGACGGTTCCCCTTTCTCTGCATCCCCGCCAACATCTGTCGTTTCCTGACTTGTTAATTTCAGCCATTCTGACTGGTGTGAGGTGGTATCTCATTGAGGTTTTGATTTGGATTTCCCTGATGCCGAGCGATGTTGAGCGCTTTTTCATGTGTCTGTTGGCCATTTGGATGTCTTCTTTGGAAAAATGTCTGTTCATGTCTTCTGCCCATTTCTGGATTGGATTATTTCTTCTTTGGGTGTTGAGTTGGATAAGTTCTTTATAGATTTTGGATACTAGCCCTTTATCTGATATGTCATTTGCAAATATTTTCTCCCATTCTGTCAGTTGTCTTTTGGTTTTGTGGACTGTTTCTTTTGCTGTGCAAAAGCTTTTTATCTTGATGAAATCCCAATAGTTCATTTTCGCCCTTGCTTCCCTTGCCTTTGGCAATGTTTCTAGGAAGAAGTTGCTGCGGCTGAGGTTGAAGAGGTTGCTACTGTGTTCTCCTTTAGGATTTTGATGGACTTCTGTCTCACGTTTAGGTCTTTCAACCATTTGGAGTCTATTTTTGTGTGTGGTGTAAGGAAATGGTCCAATTTCATTCTTCTGCATGTAGCTGTCCCATCTTCCCAACACCATTTGTTGAAGAGACTGTCTTTTTTCCATTGAACATTCTTTCCTGCTTTGTCAAAGATTAGTTGACCATAGAGTTGAGGGTCCATTTCTGGGCTCTCGAAAAAGGGTGATTTTTTAAGAAGGATGTTTTGTTTGTTTGTTTGGGTGTTTTTAGGGTGTTGTTTTTTTTAAGAATTTATTTTTAAGTATCTCTCCACCCAGTGTGGGGCTCAGACTCACAACCCCAAGATCAAGAGTTGTGTGCTCTACCAACTGAACCAGCCAGGCACCCCAAGCAGGATGTATTTTTAACCATTAATTTTTAAAATCATTTTAACCATCAATTTTATCTTAGCATTATATCACAATTTAAATAGCAGGATTTTTTTTTCTTTTTTTGGTGGCATTTAATATTCGTTTATTTTACATTCAGTGTCTTCTTAGATTATTTCACTTACTGATTCGATTACTTGTCTGTCTCTTCCCACTAGAATGTAAATTTCAAGAAGGCAGAGATTCTGCCTATACTGTTCATTCTGCTTTGTCAAGGCCTAGCACAGTCCTTGGTACATAGAAGGTACTCAATAAATATTTGTTAAATGTAAAAACAAAATGTTAATTGTTCATATATTGATTAAAAGTGCAGGTGTAAGAACTCTTCATACTTTTTGCATGCCTCACCCAGGTATCTGTATTTTAATAGAAGATCCCTGAAGGATATTAAATGTAATTTTTTTAATAGAGGAAAGTATAGTGTTCTTAGGAAGGAAGAACCTCTTTCAGTTTGAAGCATTCTTCTCATATAACACAGCAGAAGAAGGATTATGGGTGGTCATTTTATATACTTTCAGAAACTCTTATCTTAATAAACTGCAAAATATAAAGAAACACAGAAGGTTTGAAGGGTACAAACTTTCAGTTATAAGATGAATAAGGTCTGAGGATCTAATGTATAACATGATGACCATAGTTGATAACACTGTATTATATAATTGAAATTTGCTAAGAGTAGAACTTAAATGCTCTCACCAAAATGAAAAGGAAAAAAAACAATTAAAATGGGGCTCATTGTTCCAAAAAAAGGGACAAGACTGAAATGTAGAGAGAATTAAGTCTATACATTTTCTTGATTGTTGCATTTATTATTTTAATAAATAAACCAAAATCTTTAAATATATACATATATATTTTTAAACATTTTAGAGAGAGAGAAGGCTCATGTGTGTGTGAGTGGGGAGGGAGGTGCAGAGGGAGAGGGAGAGAGATAATCTTTTTTGTTTTTAAGATTTTATTTATTTGACAGAGAGAAAGAGCACAGTAGGCAGAGAGGCAGGCAGAGGGAAAGGGAGAAGCAGGCTCTCTGCTGAGCAGGGAGCCCAATGTGGGACTTGATCCCAGGACCCCGGGATCATGACCTGAGCCGAAGGCAGATGCTTAACTGACTGAGCCACCCAGGAGCCTCAGAGAGAGAGAATCTTAGGTAGGCTCCACACCCAGCATGGAGCCTGATGCAGAGCTCGATCTCACAACCCTGAGATCATGACCTGAGCCAAAATTGAGATGGATGCTTAACTGACAAAGCCACCCAGAGCCCCTTTAAATATATTTTTTTAGGGGAGGGGTGTGCAATAACAGAGGGAAGAAAATGCAAGTGAATATTTTGTAAAACATTAGTTTCAGAAGTTGAATTGTCCATCTGCATTCTTGTAGTAGGTGGCAGGATAAAATTTTTGTTTTTTGATTTTTTTTTTTTTTTACTATGACAAACCTTAAAACTCAAAGCTAGTTTTCTATGAAAGGCTTTTTCTTTTTAATTAAAGATTTTCTTACTAAGAAGTAAATTTTAAACTATATATATTTCATCTTTGATTTAGGTAAGTATAGATAGTATTAAATGAAATCATACATCCCAAATTTCAGGTACTTAAGATGTAGGGGAGATTCCCTTATGGTTTAATACTAACTTCATTAAAAATATATTTCTAACCAGAATATAGCCTTCTTCCTTGACTCTCTCCCTTTTATTTTAAAAGACTTTATCTTGAGCTTCTCGTGTTTGCTAAAGAAGGTCATAGTAGATGTGTTACATTTCATGTGTTAGAATACATATGTTAAAAATTGTCCACTTAGGGTAATACTGCTTTACTTTTCCTAAGTGCTAAAAACACTGTAAGTAGTTGAATTATTTGTTTGTTATTGGGTTTGTTTTCATGTGTGTAGAATTAATATAGAAATATCAAACACCATTAAATGTGTTTTCCTAAAGTATCTTTTTTTTAATAGCTATTCCAGAGTTCCTGCCGAGTGCTGCACTTTTTCACTAGAAGTAAACGATTTTTAGCCGTCAGTTTGTTCAGTTTCACAAACCAGCATGTTTCTTTGAGACTGGCCTGGATTTTACAGAACCTGGTTGAGGTAAGGAAAGACTGTGTGTGTGTGTGTGTGTGTGTGTGTGTGTGTGTGTGTGTGTGTGTGTGTGTGTGTGTAGACTACAGGGAAGAAAAAAGTAAAGGAATAAAGATAGTAATTTGCTTATCTGAAGGAAAATTAAGTATCCACTACATATTGGTATGGAGTACAGGAATCTTTACTCTGTTTTTTTAAACCTTTTTATTTTAAGTCATAACACATACAGAAAACTGAACAAAACAAAAATTTACCACTCAGTGATACATTGTGGAGCAAACATCTGTGTAACACTACTTGAATCAAGAAATAGAACATTGTGATACTGTGTATCACATTTTCTTTCCAATTTTCCTTTTTAACTTGTGTTTTTTTCTCAATACTATAGTTTTACCTGAATTGTTTCGAATTTTGTATAAACGTGTAAATTAATTTTCTTATATTTTCATTACTATTTAGTGTTCAATGTATGATTTTATCACTATCCATTTATCCATTCTGTTCATGTACATTTGAGTTATTATGAATAATGCTGTCTTTTTGGGGTATGTATAAAGGCATTTCTGCTGTATCTATATATGGGAATGGAATTTTTAGGGCATGAATGTGTACATATATATATATTTTTTTATTTTTCACTTTTAGTGGGTAATGTAAAAAATTTCGCACCATTTTTGATAATTTACATACCCACCATCAGTCAGTGAGAGGACTTCGTATTTCATGTACCATCGTAATTGGTATTATTAGGGTTTGTTTTTTAATTTTAGCCATTTTGGTAGGTAAATAGTGATCTCTCATTATGATTTTAGATTGGGTAATAAAAAAAGATTCACCTGTATGCCGTCTACAGGAGAAACATTTCATTTATTTTTTTAAAGATTTTATTTATTTATCTGAGAGGGTGTGAGAGGAGAGAGAGGGAGACTCCCCACTGAGCAGGATCCTGATGTGATGAGGGACTCGATCTCAGGACCCTGACCTGGACCAAAGGCAGACACTTAACCGACTGAGCCACCCAAGTGCCCCCAGAATATACATTCTTAAGTGCACATGGAACCTTCTCCAGGATACATCACATGCTACATCATAATACAATCTTCAATAAATTTAAAAGGACTGAAATCATACAAGTATTTCTCTGATAACAAAGGAATGAAATTAAAAATAATTAACAGAAAGATGGGGTGCCTGACCGGCTCAGTCAGTAGAGCATGTGACTCTTTTTTTTTTTTAATTTAAGATTTTATTTATTTATTTGACAGAGAGAGACACAGCGAGAGAGGGAAAACAAGCAGGGGGAGTGAGAGAGGGAGAAGCAGGCTTCCCGCTGAGCAGGGAGCCCAATGCGGGGCTTGATCCCAGGACCCTGGGATCATGGCCTGAGCCGAAGGCAGGAGCTTAACGACTGAGCCACCCAGGCGCCCCAAGCATGTGACTCTTGATCTCAGGGTTGTGAGTTCAAGCCCCACGTTGGGTATAGAGATTACTTAAAAATAAAATCCTTAAAAATAAGAAGAAAGAATTAGCAGAAAGAAATTTGGGAAGTTCAAAAATAAATGGAAATCAAACTGTCCTTTTAAATAACCAGTGGGTAAAAGAAGAAATCCTAAGAGAAATTATACTTTGAGATGAATGAAAATGAAAACACAGTATACCAAATCATATGTTGCGGCAAGATCAGCGTTTAGATAGAAATTTATACGGGGTGCCTGGGTGGCTCAGTCATTAAGCATCTGCCTTCGGCTCAGGTCATGATCCCGGGGTCCTGGGATCAAGCCCCATGTTGGGCTCCCTGCTCCACAGGAAGCCTGCTTCTCCCTCTCTCACTCCCCCTGCTTGTGTTCCCTCTCTCACTGTGTCTCACTCTGTCAAATAAATAAATAAAATCTTTTTAAAAAATATTTAAAAAAAAGAAATTTATAGCCAGACTATATTACATATAGAAATTATATTAACAGAGTGCCTGGGTGGCTCAGTTGGTTAAGCAACTGCCTTCGGCTCAGGTCATGATCCTGGAGTCCCGGGATCGAGTCCCGCATCGGGCTCCCTGCTCGGCGGGGAGTCTGCTTCTCCCTCTGACCCAGCCCCCTCTCATGCTCTCTTTCTCTCTCTCTCTCTCAAATAAATAAATACAATCTTTAAAAAAAAAAAAAATTATATTAACAAAGCATCTAACATTCTAACTTAAGACACTGGCAAAAGGTAGCAAACTGAACCCACTGTAGCAGAAGGGAAGAAATGTAAAGATTAGTGTGAAAATTAATGAAATACTGAATAGAAAAAACAGTTGAAAAAAATCAATGAAACAATGGTTTTTCCATGCCTTTTTATGGCTTAGTAATGCATTTCTTTTTATCACTGATCAGTATTTCTTTGTCTAGATGTGTTTCAATTTGTTTATTTAATCACTTGTTGGAGGACATATTGTTGCTTCTAATTTTTGGCACTTACAAATAAAGTTGCTATAAACATTTGTGTACAGGTTTGTGTTTGTGTGTGTGTGTGTTTAATCAGAGAGAGAGAGAGAGAGAGCACAAGCAGAGGGAGAAGCAGGCAGCAGGCAGAGGGAGAGCAGGTTTGCTGCTGAGCAGGGAACCCAATGCGGGACTCCATCCCAGGACCCTGGGATCATGACCTGAGCCGAAGGCAGCCGCTTAACTGATTGAGCCACCCAGGCGCCCCATGTATACAGATTTTTGTATAAACATAAATTTCAACTCATTTGGGTAAATACCTAGGTGTGCAGTTTGCTGGATCAGATGATGAGACTATGGTTAGCTTTGTTAGAAAATGCCAAACTGTCTTCCAAAGTGGCTGTACCATTTTACATTTCTACCAACAACGAATGAGAGTTCCTGTTGCTCCACATTCTTGCTAACATTTGATATCGGGGTTTTGGATTTTAGCCATTCTAATAGGTGTGAAGTAGTATCTCTTTGATTTAATTTGTAATTCCCTAACATAACAATATGATGTAGAAATATGACTTTTTTTTTCCCTTTTCTTCTTAAACATTGACAAGGACTTACAGGATATAGTCCATGACTATTAATTCTAATATCTGTAGCCTCATGGGCTCTGTCTCTCTCTCTCTCTTTTCTTTTTCATGTTCTCTTGTTTCCTTGGATGCCTGATTATTTAATTTCTTTTAAATTTAAACTACTTTATGGATGTATGATTAACATACAAAAAGCTGAACATATTTAATATATACAACTTGATGAGTTTGATGAGCTTGGTTACTTATTTGTATACATGTGTATGTATATCAGCTAGACATTGTATTTGCAAAATTATGTGTAGAAATTATGAGAGCCTTAACATTAACACTATCTTGCTCTGGATAGGAATTATGTTTGTTTCTTCCATTCTTCTAGGCACCAGGATTACATCAGTCCAGTTTAATGATTGAGGTGATTCAAAACTGAGCTGCATTTCCTATGAGAGCCTGTCTTTCTAGTTTACCCTTACTCATAGGGTAGAGCCATTTGGAGTCTTAACCCAAAGCAAGGAGGATTGACCTTGATCCTAATCTGAGCCCTAATACTGACTCTGTGTCTTTGTAGCCTTATATGGACCTACTCCCTTTCAGAGGACCTGGCTCTTAAATGTTTTTTGAATGAACAGATGAACTTACTACTTGTCAGGCATTGTTGCTGCTTACTGAAATACAGATTAACCTTTCTCTAATCTGGAACAAATTTTAGAATCACAATTTCTAAATTTAAAAAGAGTTTGAAATAAAGTAATATTACTTTAAGCACTCCCTATGTAAATGGTATAAAGCTTGAATGGAATCTTCAAAATACTTGTTATAAATAATCTACAATGACTTCTTTTTTGGAACTTACATCATGTCTTTTCATTTTATTGATCTTTTCTACTGTTGAAATAGAATTCATCCTTAAATGTATTCATTTGCTGTTCTTTTTGTCTCCTTTATTTAGGAGACATGTTTTAAGCATCTGCTATATGGCAGGAACCCTCCTCAGTGTTGGGCTTAAAATTTAGTTCCTGCTCTTAAGGATCTTGGGGTCTAACAGGGAGGTAATGACGTGAGATAAGGGCTATCTGGAAGATTCCCATAGAGTATCGGCTTGGGCAAATCCAGGAACTGCTAGTCTTGAAGGACAAATAAGAGTTGGAGAGGTGGTGAAATATGATGTAGGGCGGTGTTTCCACTATGTTAGTAATATCTCAGGGCGCCTGGCTGGCTCAGTTGGTAGAACGTGCGACTCTTAAGCTTGAGTCGTGACTTTGCCCCCAACGTTGGGTGTAGAGCCTTTTTAAAAAAATAATAATGGGGATGCCTGGGTGGCTCAGTCATTAAGAGTCTGCCTTCGGCTCAGGTCATGATCCCGGGGTCCTGGGATCGAGCCCCGCATCGGGCTCCCTGCTCTGCGGGAAGCCTGCTTCTCCCTCTCCCACTCCCCCTGCTTGTGTTCCCTCTCTCGCTGTGTCTCTCTCTGTCAAATAAATAAAAATCTTTAAAAAAAAATTAAATTAAAAAAATAATGATTTCTCAACAATCATTTCATTGTCTCTATTAGCTAGTTTAAAGAGGTTGTGATACTTTTGTTTCCTTTGGCATGCTTTATACTAAGGGTTAGCACATTTTTTCTGTAACATGCCAGATAGTCATAATTTAGACTTGGAAAACTACTCTGCCATTATAGTGTGAAAACAGCCATAAATAACACTTAAATAGGTGAGCATGGCTATGCTCCAATAACATTTTATCTATGGACCCTGAAATTTGAATTTCATTTACTTTTCATATGTCACAAGGTATTCTTTTTTAAAAAACAATTATAAAATTTAAACACCATCCTTAACTTGCTGTACAGAAATAAGCAGTGGCGGGGCACCTGGGTGGCTCAGTTGGTTAAGCGGCTGCCTTCAGCTCAGGTCATGATCCCAGAGTCCTGGGATCGAGCCCCATGTCGGGATCCCTGCTCAGTGGGGAGCCTGCTTCTCCCTCTCCCTCTGCTGCTCCCCCTGCTTGTGCTCTCTCTCTCTCTCTCTCTCTGTCAAATAAATAAATAAAATCTTTAAAAAAAAAAAGGAAATAAGCAGTGGGTTGGATTTGAACTGTGATCATAGTATACCATCCCCTGTTTTATTTATTTATTTTTTTAGATTTTATTTATTTATTTGAGAGAGAGAGAAAGCATGAGAGGGGAGAGGGTCAGAGGGAGAAGCAGACTCCCTGCTGAGCAGGGAGCCCGATGTGGGACTTGGTCCCCGAACTCCGGGATCATGACCTGAGCTGAAGGCAGTTGCTTAACCACTGAGCTACCCAGGTGCCCCATCCCCTGTTTTAGACTTTATGTAGACATATCCATATGTCTAAATTAAAAATATGTATATTTACTTAGTTCTTTCATCACAAAAGTAACACATGTTTCTTGTAAAATTAAAGCCTTTTATACCTTATAGTAATTGCTTAGAACTGTTTGGAGTATATTTTAAAAATAGTTTCTTGGGGCGCCTGGGTGGCTCAGTTGGTTAAGCGACTGCCTTCGGCTCAGGTCATGATCCCGGAGTCCCGGGATCGAGTCCCACATCGGGCTCTCTGCTTGGCAGGGAGTCTGCTTCTCCCTCTGACCCTCCCCCCTCTCATGCTCTCTCTCTCTCTCTCTCTCTCTCTCAAATAAATAAATAAAATCTTTAAAAATAGTTTCTTTATATATATATATATATATATATATACACACATACATACATACATATACGTATATATTCATTCTTATCAAAAAATGGGATTTTATTGTATTTACTGATCGGCACTTAATTATGCATTTCATAATTTAGCCTTTTTGAGGGGCACTTGGGTGGCTCAGTTGGTTAAGCGACTGCCTTTGGCTCCGGCATGATCTCAGGGTCCTGGGATCGAGCCCCGCATTGGGCTCCCTGCTCGGTGGGAAGCCTGCTTCTCCCTTTCCCACTCCCCCTGCTTGTGTTCCCTCTCTCGCTGTCTCTCTCTCTGTCAAATAAATAAATAAATAAAATCTTTAAAAAAAATAATTTAGCCTTTTTGAGTCAGTTTTGTGATGTTATGTTTTCTAGGTGCAAAAGGCAATTGAAGAAGATAATTGCTGCTTTGGGACTATTGATACCTGGTTGTTACATAAGCTCACAAAAGGTAAAGATGATCTGATAGATCTCAAGTGACTGAAATTTGACTGATAGAAAAGGTTCATCTAAAAAAAGTGGAAGTTACTTTTTTTTCCTTCCTTTGTCCCAAACATACTGCTCCTTGGTACCCTAGTAACTACATGTTATAGTAAAGCTAGATAAATTTTAGATTTGTAAGAGGAGGGTGATTTTTAAATTATGATCAGACCTCAAACAGAAGGCAGAGGAACAGTTTTAATTTCAAAAGTGTTAAGACTCAAGTTTGGTAACAAATTTGCCACTTTGCAGCTGGGTAACTATAGGCAATCATAATGCATCTGTGAATCCCTTTCCTTATCTTTGAACTGGGAATCAGAGTGCCTAGGTGACAGTTGGTTAAGCTCTGACTCTTGGTTTTGGCTCAGGTCATGATCTCAGGGTCATGAGATTGAGCCCCGAGGCCAGTCTCTATTCTCCATGGGGAGTCTGCTTGAGATTCTCTCCCTCTGTTCCTGCCCCAACTCCCACACTCTCTCTCTTTCAAATAAATAAATCTTTAAAAGAAATAACAAAATAAATTGGGGATCATGATTTGACAATGTATATGAAAGTGCTTTTGTAAACTATAAACGTTCAAAAAGATTAAGTGGGAAATTGCTTTGGAGACTTTGCACTGGAAATATACATTTTGGAATGAATTTGAGGCCAGACAAAGGTTTAGATTATAAACTAGGGATGGTTGTTGATTGATACTACTTGATAATATATTATTTACAATGTAAATTTAGGTTCTGTATTTGCCACGGATTTTTCAAATGCCAGCGCAACTGGACTATTTGACCCTTTTAAGGTAAAGTTTTTTTTTTTTCCCTTTTGAATCACTGATTTTTGTATAATTTAGCTTGGATTCTGATGACATATTTTTATGCTTAGATGCGTTGGAACCGGCTCCTTACTTCCATGCTTTCGATACCACTGTTTATCCTGCCTCCAGTGAGGGATACGAGGTAATGATGAACATCAGATATAGAAACCAGCAAAATTGTCCCTGAATTCATTTTGCCTTAGTGGGGAAAGCATTTTATTATTTGTTTGACATGCTTGTATGTTCATTATATAACATTTTGGTCTATGTGAAAATCAATTTGCTGAATTTTAGTATTAATATTTCTAGAGCTATGACTCACTTTTTAATCAATTTTATTTGAAGCCACAATTTTGGATCAGTGGATGAAGAGTTATTTGGTGTGCCTATACCAATAGTGGCCTTGGTAAGTAGAAAACTCGAGGGTTTCTCCATGCATAGTATAAACTAAATAATATATATGAATAGTTGGGATTAGATTTAAGAGATATTAGAGGTCCTTGCACAATAAATTAAAGTATTTTTTTTCTTTTTAAGTTAATGTGCCCTGGATATAATCAGTATTTTCTATATTCCAGAAAGGAGACCACAGGGCCACTCTTCTGACATGAAAGCTCTTTCTAATCTTTTCTGACTTCTGTATATATTATTTTTTAGAAAACTGTTAAATTTTTTAAAAAATGTTGTATTCTGAATAAGTGTGGTTTATATTTGATACTCTGAGACAAAAAAACAGGGAAAGGGCCATTGCTTACTTTGTATTTGGTACAGTATAACCAAACAGTGACAGGGCACTTTAAAGTAAATAAAATGTTGTATTTCTATTTTATAAAATCCTTAGCCAGCATATACTAGTAGAGAAACTGTAGAAGAGTGAAAAATTAGCTTTTTCAGGTTTTTGAGGTTCTTTCTTGATTGTACTCTTTCTGTCTGAATGAAAGATCTAGAACTTAGAGAATCTCAAGGATTTGCCGCCTGGTTGAGGGGCTCTATGGAAACTCTGACCTTGACTTTGGTTTCCTGTAATAGCTTACACAGGACGTATAGACCATCTTTCCCTAGATGGATGATTGCCACAGTAGGTGGAGAAATCAGGTGAGAAGGGGAATTTAATTCCCACATTACAAATTCCTCATCTTTTAGAGAGGATCAGTCTTATTCAACTTAACGGTAGGCTCAGGTTTAGATAAAGGTATGGCTGGAACAATTGAAGTTTAGTGACAAAGTGTTCTTTAGATGAGTTTTGGTCCTTAAAATATTTCTTTACATTGTTAAAAAGAGGGGTGCCTGGCTGACTGTCTCGGTGGAGCATGTAACTCTTGATCTTGGGATTGTAAATTCGAGCCCCACATTGGGTGTAGAGATTACTTAAAAATAAAATCTTAAAAAAAAAAGAAAACAACAGGCCTAAAATGGCAGCCTAAGTCAGTAAACCAAGACTTAATACCTACCCTAACTACAATTTCAACCCCCCAGAAATGTAACCCTTAACCAGTCAACATGGGAATTTTCCATCAGCACTAGGAAATTTTCTGATAGGCCCCTTCCATTCCCCTTAGGAGGGCAACTTTATCTAAAACAATGGATTTTTTTTGCTAATAATTTCCTTTTTTCCATTCCCAATCTACCTTTAAAAATCTTTCCTTTTCTGGGGCACCTGGGTGATTTGGTCGGTTAAGTGACCGACTCTTGATCTCAGCTCAGGTCTTGATCTCAGGGTCATGAGTTCAAGCGCCACACTGGGCTCCATGCTGGGTGTGGAGCCTACTTAAAAAAAAAATCTTTCCTTTTCTGTAGCTCTGTGGAAGTCCCCATACTTGCTAAATGGGTTGCTGCCTGATTCATGAATTGATTAATAAAGACAATTATATCTTTAAAATTTTACTCGTTTGGGGGCGCCTGGCTGGCTCAGTTGGTTAAGCGTCTGCCTTCAGCTCAGGTTATGATCTCAGGGTCCTGTGATTGAGCCCCGCATTGGGAGTCCCTGCTCAGCAGGGAGTCTGCATCTCCCTCTGCCCCTCCCCCCCACTTGTGCGTGCTCTCTCTCTCTCTCTCTCTCTCTCATTCTCTCTAAAATAAATAAATAAAATCTTGAAAAAAAAGAGAAGAAAATTTACTTGGTTGAATTTTTATTATTTAACAGATTTGGTGGCAGGCAGCGACAAGATCCAAAGTGAACTTCTAGCAGCATTTGGGGACAATGAGAAATACAGGCAGGGTACCTCATGAACCCTTTGAATGCATGTGTTTCTCGCTGTTCCTGAGGGCTGTGGGTAAATTCTCTCTTGGTTCTGAGCTCTACTCTTTGTTCATTTAACTCCCCCAATCTAATTGGCTTTCCTTTACAGCCTGAGCTGCCAGATGGTTATGCCTAGAGCTGGCTGTTTTGCCTAGAGTCCCACTGAGTTGGGAAAGTGTCTGCCCAAAGCCAAATCCCTAGCCTTTCAGACCACAGTTCCCCTGGAATTGCTGGAAAACCCCAGCAAGGTTCCACAAGAATTGTTTGTGGTGAGCACAGGGCCTTCTCTTGGCAAAGACACAGTAACATCTCTTGGTTGTTGCTTATACATTAAGGTGCACATATTTGTCTTGTTTTGTCTAGATAAAGGCCATTGGTAAGAGGGATCTCAGAGACCAAAAACCTGGAAAAATTGGTAGGCACAGGGTGAGCATTTGAAGGCTATTAGAGCTCTTGCCACTTCAAGAAAATAGAGTAAGTTGATCACAGAATGGGTTAGACTGATACAAGTTCACCCACCAACCTCAAGAAAACCTCTGTACTGTAAAATATGTAAGATCCCCAACCCAGTGGCCCATTCCTGGCATTAGCTTGGCTCTGAGAACTCCAAAGTCTTAGCTAATGAAATCCTTAAATTCTAAAGAGTCAAGCATGCCACCTTCCAGCACACCTGCTTATTTTGAGTCTAAGAACTATAGTCCTAGAAGTTGTAGATATCTCGCAAAAGTGGCAAAATCTTAGTAAGCTTGTTTTGCATCCTGAGGAACTTGGCTCAGTAACTGTCAGGTTGAGGGTCCCCAAATAAGGCCAGACAGAAATATGAGTTGCACCCCCTTTGCAGCTAAATACGGCTGGACAGAAATATGGGTTAACTCCGTTTGTGCCTAGAATCCTACCAAACTGCTTCAGCCTTCAAGGGAATTACAACCCAGAAATACATGGTCGTTATGGGGACCGTTCCAATTAGATAAAATCATTTAAGAAGTACACTTGAAAGCAAGGATTCCCAAATTAAACAGAATGAGATACCTGTTTTAATTGGCAAGCAGAAGCCTCCAAAAGGTTTTAAAATTCCCACATTGTTTCATTAAAAGACTCATTGCGAAAGGCTAGTGAAAAATTAAAGAGAGAAGAGATACCCAAAACAAAAGACTCGAAGACTGACATTAACTCCCGCTGCTCCCCCCTTCCCTCTCTCCCCTTTGGAGTACTCATTCTACTAATCCTCTGTCTCACTTGGTTTTCCACTCTGAGAAGACTCCACACCGTAAACAAAACTTCACCACATTAACGGCCTTACATACACCCCTGTATTTACCTTCATAGGAGGACCCCTACATGGGCCCCTCTCAGAGTTGTTGAAACAGAGGGATTTTTCTGGTGAAACTGCTGTGTTCTTTCCTTAAACAGCCAAGGGGAAAATCTGGTAGATACCAGAGACTGCAGAGGGGATCCAGGAAAAACTGGCAGAAGCCAGCAAAGGGTGAAAATTCTTACCAGAATCAGTTCCTTTCAAATCTCTTGTCTCGGGGCACCTGGGTGGCTCAGTCGTTAAGCGTCTGCCTTCGGCTCAGGTCATGATCCCAGGGTCCTGGGATCGAGCCCCGCATCAAGCTCCCTGCTCCGCAGGAAGCCTGCTTCTCCCTCTCCCACTCCCCCTGCTTATGTTCCCTCTCTCGCTGTGTCTCTCTGTCAAATAAATAAATAAAGTCTTTAAAAAAAAAAAATCTCGTCTGTAGTGCCCAGTCTAGAGAGGAAAATACGATTTCACATTGTCCCTTCCTTTCCAAATCCAGACCCATTGGCTTATTGATCCTTTCTCTCCCAGAGATACCTATTGCCTTCTCATTTGTCTAGTTTTGCATAACTGGGCTTGGCTTTCTGCCCACATGGGACGTGCAGGTTTTGGTTCTTTGGCTTGTCATTTGGAGTGACTCTAGATCTTGGGAAGGTAGTATCCTTTGCACCCTTTTTGGGGACCCCTCTTACACCCATGGGGTATTATTCAGTACCACCAGAAATACTTAAAATTAGAACCATGTCCCCAGGGGAAAAAGAAGCAAACAGAATAATAGAGGTAGATCAACCTATAATGTCATTTAAGTTACAACCCAGTTCTTGGAGGAATTGAAAGCAATTGTCCTTATCTTGCAATCTTTATAAAACTAGAACTATAGCTCTAGAGGCTGTTCAAAGTTTACCTATTTCTTCACCAATCCCAAAACTTCCCCTGTTTATCTCAAATGGATTGTAAATTTTTGTCTCTAGGGAACCGAAGTCCTTCTTGGAGGAACTTGCATTCTTTTCCTTTCCCTTAAAGTTACACATCTTACCATGTCTTAGAAATGTAAACACAGCCCACAATCACCAGAGACTGAGAGAAAAAAAGGGAAAGAAGCCTTTTTTTTTTTTAAAGATTTTATTTATTTGGGAGAGAGTGAGTGAGAGAGTGCACAAGAGGGGATAGCGTCAGAGGGAGAAGCAGACTCCCCACTGAGCAGGGAGCCCGATGCAGGACTCAATCCTGGGACTCCAGGATCATGACCTGAGCCGAAGGCAGTTGCTTAACCAACTGAGTCACCCATGTGCCCCTGGAAAGAAGCCCTTTTAAAATACAAACCTCTAGGGCGCCTGGGTGGCTCAGATGGTTGGGCGTCTGCCTTTGGCTCAGGTCATGATCCCGGGGTCCTGGGATCGAGTCCCGCATCGGGCTCCCTGCTCCTTGGGAGCCTGCTTCTCCCTCTGCTTCTCTCTCCCTCTGTCTCTCTCATGAATAAATGAATAAAATCTTTAAAAAAAAATAAATAAATAAATAAAATACAAACCTCTAAAAGAGCTCTTTTCTCAAACTATAGCACTACCTCCTTAAGATTAATCCTAAGGACAAATACCAATCTTAAAAATCTTCTCCACAAATATTAGTAACTATAGGGTCTTCATGTGCATCTCTCTCTCTCTCTCTCTCTCTCTCTCTCTCTGTATATAGTAAATGTGAGATATTTTTTGACCTCTGGATGGCATTGCTAAAATTAATTTGTAAAAGTTTTATTTACTTGGTTTGAAGGCAAACATTGGTAAGGATTAGACATTCTAAAACTCTCAGAAAGAAACCAACCCAAATGTTTTGTCAAGTTCACACAATCTGGATAAATATTTGATATGAAAGCTACTTTAAGGTTGTTGGTTTAATTAAAGTAGACGTACCTTAGGGTGGCACAATCGGTTAAGCAACCAACTCTTGGTTTTGGCTCAGGTCATGATCTCAGAGTTGTGTGATCTCAGAGTTGTGAGATCAAGCCCCACATTGGGCTCTGTGCTCACGTGGAATCTGCTTGAAATTCTCCCTCCCTCTCCCCCTGTTCCTCCCACTTGTGCACACGCCCTCTCTCTGTGTCTCTAAAATAAATAAATCTTTAAAGAATATTAAAGTAGACATGTCTTTAGAGTTATCAACATTAAAATTAAAACTTTTATTCTGCCTTAGTTCACTTAAAGTCAAATAAGGTAATATTATCTCTGTTACAAATTTTAAAAAAATAGGGCGCCTGGGTGGCTCAGTTGGTTAAGTGACTGCCTTCGGCTCAGGTCATGATCCTGGAGTCCCGGATTCGAGTCCCGCATCAGGCTCCCTGCTTGGCAGGGAGTCTGCTTCTCCCTCTGACCCTCTTCCCTCTCGTGCTCTCTATCTCATTCTCTCTCTCTCAAATAAATAAATAAAATCTTAAAAAAAAAAACAAATTTTAAAAAAATAGCTTGGCGGGGGCACCTGGGTGGCTCAGTCGGTTGGGCATCCGACTCTTGATCTTGGCTCAGGTCATGATCTTGGTGTCGTGAGATCAAGCCCCATATCAGGCTCTCCACTCAGCGTAGAGTCTGCTCAAGATTCTCTCTCTCGGGTGCCTGGGTGGCTCAGTTGGTTAAGTGACTGCCTTCGGCTCAGGTCATGATCCTGGAGTCCTGGGATCGAGTCCTGCATCGGGCTCCCTGCTCGGCAGGGAGTCTGCTTCTCCCTCTGACCCTCCCCTCTCTCATGTGCTCTCTCTCTATCTCATTCTTTCTCTCAAATAAATAAATAAAATCTTAAAAAAAAAAAGATTCTCTCTCTCTTGCTCTCCTTCTGCCCCTCCCCTACTATCTCTCTCTCAAATAAATAAATTAAAAAAAAATAGTTTGGAAGAATGACTGACTTTGATGTCTCATGAAGGTTTTATGGGTAATATAAGCATAATTATTAAGAACAAGTAAATAGATATAAATAAGATAAAAAATTTAGGTAATCTTTTAAATAGTCTCCCAAATCTTTTTTGGTAACCTAAAACCTTAAAGTTTTTCTAAGTTAAGTTAAGTAATGAATTAAGTTGAATTCGTTAAATATCTATATCATTTGTAAATAAGATGAAATACTAAAACATCAATTGCTAAACATAAGTTTATCTTGTGGTACATGGCTGGCTTAGTGTAACATGTGACTTTTGATCTCAGGGTTGTAAGTTTGAGCCCTACATTGGGTGTAGAGTTTACTTACAAATAAAAAATCTTAAAAAAAAAAAAAAAGAAATATCTACTTGCAGCTTCTTATTACAGAAAAACTAAAATATATTTTGGATATGTTAGTGCTACTTGGAAAATTAAAGACATATGCTTCTAAAAATTATAAAATGTATTTATAAATTTGCCAATCTAAAGAATGCTGGTATGACAGACAGTTCCCATTTGCTTAACACTACTAGAAATAATGAAGGAAATATCTCCATATGCAAGGGGAGTAAAATATGTTTTTGATTTTAAAAAAATGTACGAGGAATGGAGATACATTCTTTTGAGGAAAAAACAGTTGTAGAAAGTTTGTGAAAAAGGAATCTCTGGCAAGGAATTGTGTATGTGGTTAGGACTGACTGAAGATTGGAACGAATGTTTTCACATCAAAACTAAGCTGGTGCAAAATTAGAATTTGGTTTTCTGTGTTTTAAGAGGACGAAGATTCTGTGTTTGGGCTTTTCTCGTTGGCTTGAGTCTTTTTGACCTGGAACATGTCAAAGAATTTGCTAAACTATTTAAGCTTATGTGATATGTTAAATTACATCAGAAGCATTGTCAAATAAAAAGTAATACTAAGCCTTCTTTATGTTGTAAGATTTTGGCACATGTGCATAAAGTCCATTCTGCTTCTGGAAAAAAAAAAAAGGCCCCTCATTGCCAGACTTTTGCCATCCTGATGTCCTATAACATGGCAACAGTCTGCTGCTGAATCAGAGAAATTAAGGTGGGTAAATACTGGCTGTCAATTAAATGAATAGTTGGGGCTATGGGAAAACTAAGATGCTGCTTAGTTCTTCCCAGCTGACAAACCCTATTTTTCAGTTTTTACATTCTTTCACCATAGGGCATTCAAGATGACCTAAAATTATGAATAGACATCGGTGGGGAGACTTCTATAATATTGTAAAAATAATCTACCAGCAATTTCTGACTTGTCAGGTCATCCTGGAAAAACTAATTTTGTTCCCAGAGCCTCAGACCTACCCCTCTTGACCCTTTGAACACCTGCAGTGGGAGTTCATTCAGCTGCTACTTCCTATGGATTACCAATATGTTCTTGTTTTTGCTTGTATGTTTTGTGGATGGGTTGAAGCCTTTCCCTGCTGCAAGGCTGTGATGCCCTCCCAGTAGCAAGGAAACTATTAGAAAACATGTTTCCCATTTGGGGCATACCTTCCACAATCTCCAGTGATCAAGGCACCCACTTCACTGGGCAAATCATATGAGCCTTAATGAAAACCTTGCGAAACTTCTTGGAATTCTATCAGGAGCTTGTATACTGAGCCTAGAAAACTAGGGATTCTGGAAACATGATCAGAGGAAGATGGCCCTCGAGCCCCATTGGAAGAGGAATCTTACCAAGTGCTCCTGATCACGGACACTACTGCAAAACTAGAAGGGATGGAGCCTTGGGTACACATTTCACAGCTTGTGAAGCCTCCACCTCCAACCAGGTCCTCTACAGACGCTGGAGACCTCCAAATCAAATTGATGAGGAAGAGAAGTAGCTGAGTCAGGGTGGAATGCTTCTGCCTCAGATGATGGATCAAGACTTTAAACTTTAACTAAACGCAAAACCCTTTCTCCTTCTCCTTTTTTATTCTGGCATTAGCCTGGAAAGTTAATGCCGTCATCTGTTTCTCCCCGGGCCACTGCTTAAGGAGGGTAGTCTTTGGAATTTAGAACAACCTTTTATTTCAGGCTAAGAGAAAATCTAACTTTTCACAAGCAAAATAAGACATCTCTTTGGGTGACTCCCCTGAAGTTACATTATTGAGTTAGAAAGGACCAGCCGGGAGGTTTTCATGATTCAGAAATTCACTCCTCTTGGAAGGTCCCTACTTCCCTGGTTAGGGATAAATGTAAATGAGCCTATGATCGGGAACTTCTCAATTCTTGAAATTACTGCAGAATCTGCTGCTAAAGCAACAGAGGCCCAACAACCATCCTTAGACTCTTTAGCCAAAGCTCTTCGTGATAGTAGGACAGCCCTCGATTATCTTTTAGGCGAGCAAGGGGGTACACCTCTGCTGTGGTCAACACCACCTGCTGTATCTGGACTAACCCTTCTGGGGATTTTGAGAAACTTAATTAAGTTTCTTATTAAGAAACTTAATTACATAAGATCACTGAGCAAGCTGCTTGGCTTAAAAGAGTAACTTCTTCAGTGGGGTCTTTCTTTGATTTATTTGATTTTAATTGTTTTGGGTCTTGGGAACCATGGCTCTGAATACACTCCAAATACTGGGAATTATCCTGTTTATAGTTATCATAATAATATCCCTGGTACATTGTATTCTCTCAAAAGCTTTAAATACATGTTAACTGCCAAGCACCAAGCAAATGATCCCTAAGACGGGAACATCAGAAAAGGAATGAAGAGGACAACCGACTTAAAAATTGTGAATCTGAAGTTGTAACCTGTGAATATCACAGAGATTAAGCAAAAAAACATCGTGACCTGTGAATACCGCACAGAGAATCAGTAACAGCTGTGAGAACTCTGGAGTGGTGGTAGAGAATGCTTTAAATTTTGATCACATCTCTCAGTTAAACTGAGAGTCTGATCAAAAGGGAGGAAATCATTAAATAGAAAACCACAGGCCTAAGATAACGGCTCCAAGCCAGTAAACCAAGACTTAATAGCTAACCTACCGGTAGTTTCAACTGCCCAGAAATGTAACTCTTAGCCAGTCAACATGGGAATTTCTGGGTCAGCATTAGGAAATTTAATGATAGACCCCTTCTGTCCCCCTTAGGAGGGTGACCTTGCCTAAAACAATGGATTCTTTGCTAATAGTTTCCTTTTTTCTCTGCTCTTTTTCTACTTTTAAAGACTTGCTTTTTCTTTAGCTCTTTCGAGCTCACCTCTGCTAGGATGGATGCTGCCCGATTCATGCATCAATTAATAAAGCCAATTAGATCGTTAAAATTTACCGCATTGAACATTGTTACTTAACAACTTACATTTAATTATTTTAACAAAATGTCATAATTTTTCTTTTAACAAAATGTATGGTTGGGAATGTGTAGTTTTGACCTATATTTATTTATATTAAGCACACACCTATCACTCTTATTAAAAGAGAAATATGCGATGTCAATTATTTTGACTAGTGAATGAAACCACTTTTAAGTTGAAAAATCTTGTTTTTTCCTGCATGGCTTTTATTCTGGCCTTTATTTCTCAGATTTTTCCTGTGATACTTAAAAGTCGTGAAGTAGGTTGCCTACTAAAAATTCCTGAGGCACATTAGTTACCACACAATGTTAGTCCTTGAGACACTTCTAGCTTATCATTGCTCTTTGTTTTTTCCAGGGTTTTTTTTTTTTTAAGGAAAAGGAAAAAAGAAAACAAAATGTTGACCCATGAGAATACAATATAGGAGACAGTGGGAGACAGTGAAATGGGCCGCTGCTAAGCCCAGCCATCTTATATTTGAACATTTTTGGCAGGTCGCCGATCAGCAGTCAGCCATGTTTGGAGAGTGCTGCTTCCACATAGGAGACGTGAAACTAACCATGGGAACTGGGACATTTTTGGATATTAATACTGGAAATAGCCTTCAGCATACTATTGGAGGTAAATAGTTAGAATTTATCCTTTTTATTGATAAAATACCACTTCTTTTCATATTTAACTTTTGTGACGCTGTTTTCCCATTTTATATTAAGGGTACTGTCTAACATATTTTTCACCGTTATTCTTAGAGACAGTTAATTTCCATTTCCCTTTTTTCTTTAAAAGCATGAAAAATGAGACAGATATTATTACAGAAAAACTCAGGTTTAGGGTATTTTGGTCAGTTTACCAAATATTTACCTGTAATACATGTTATATTTGTTTAAAACATCTTTCTAAGCCTCTAAATTTTCTCTTATGTGTTAGCAGTTCTTCTGTGTGTGTCTGTGTGTGTCTGTGTGTTTGAGGGGGGGTGGTAATTCTCAACTACTGATCCATGCATATTTAATGACAGTTGCCAAGAAATTGGTCTCCCTGATGGAAGACATCCTAGGATGTGTAAACCAAGAAATTTAGATTGTGGAACTACACCCTAAGAGGCCTGTGGGCTCTTAATCTGGGCTATGGTCTCCTAACATGGTTACTAAGAGGCAGATTTTAAAATCTTTTTCTTACCTTCCATCCCCCCTCAAGCTCTTCCTTTTCCCTAACTGGGAAAATGGAAGCTAGAAAATTTCATCATTGCATTAGGTTGTTTCTAATTAGGAACCTTCACAGATAAATAAAATAGCGTAGTTGGCTCTCTGTGTGTGTTTCTAGAGACATAGATATGCCTGTGGCTACTAAAAGCTAGTGTTTATTGTTCATATTAAATGCCAGGCACTGCACGAAGTTTTTTATGCATTAATTCAGTTTATTCTCACAGGAGCTCTCTGAGGCAGACCATTTTACAGTTGAAGAGACTGAGGCTGAGAGGTTAGAAACTTGTGAGACTACTGACTTCAGAGCCACTTTGCTATTTTTTAAGATAATCAAATTGTTAACCAAATGTAGATGTCTCTGCAATGAATTATCTATTTATTACATTTGACTTACATTGTTTCTTTGTTTTTAAGGCTTTTATCCACTAATTGGGTGGAAGATTGGCCAAGAAGTTGTATGCTTAGCTGAAAGCAATGCAGGAGACACTGGTACTATCATCAAATGGGCTCAAGAATTAGGTAAGTTATCTTTCAAACAGATTTCACAGGCCAAACTTAAAGAATTCAAGAGTGCCACAGGACTACCGATGAGTAGGGAATGAATAGATCGTTCAAATGAGACCTAAAAAGAACTATGCTAGAAGAAAATATAGGATACTATTTTTTTGACACTGGGATGGTAAAAAGGCTAGGAATTAAGGCCAGATCCATAAAGAAAAAAAAACAATAAACTTAAGTATATAATTATTAGAATGTATAAGGAGAGAAGTGTCATAAGCAAAGGTAAAAGACAAATTGGTAACAACAATTTGTAACATACGTCAGAAAAATTAATAAAGATGACTAAAGAATAAACAAAGGACAGAAGTACAGCTATCATAAATCAAGTGGCTATTAAAAATGCTATTCGGGGCACCTGGCTACTTAGTTGGAAGAGCACGTGACTCTTGATCTCAGGGTCGTTAGTTCAAGACCCATGTTAGGCGTAGAGATTACTAAAAAAAATAAATAAACTTAAAAAAAATGCTATTCAAATTCAACAGTCAAAGAAATATACATCTAAGGGCACCAAGTGGCTCAGTCAGCTAAGCATCTGCCTTCAGCTCAGGTCATGATCCCGGGGTCCTGGGATCGAACCCTCATCGGGCTCCCCGCTCAGTGGGGAGTCTGCTTCTCCCTCTGCCTCTGTCCCAGCTCTTGTGTACTCTCGTTCTTGCTCTCTCAAATAAAGTCTTTAAAAAAAAAATACACATCTAAAAAATTATGTCACCTGTCATTGGCAGAGATTAAGTAGTTTGATGATGCTCAGCACTGATGGGAATATAAAGAAAAAGACTATTCTTGTTTTCCTTTGTGATGAATATTAACTAGTATGGCCTTTCTGGAGAACAAGCAGGCAACATGTTTTAATTTATAGAGTGCAGACCCTTTTCTTTGTTTCTTAAGAAAACAAGGATGTAGGTAGACAAAGATGTGGACACGCATAAGTGTTTAATACAACAATTGGAAATAAGTTCCCATCTAGTAGTAAAGCATTTAGTAAGTAAATGCCAGTATACCCATACAATGGGACATTGTACAGTCACATATAATGGTGGAGTTGTATATCTTACTGGTATAGAGCACTGTCTATGAGACATTAAGGAGGGGATGAAGTCATTGCAGAACAGTCTATATAAATATTTCTTGCTTTTATTTTACAGCTTTATTGAGATATAATCCATATACCATATAATTCACCTACTTAAAGTATAAAACTCAGTGTTCTTTAGTATTGTCTCCAGGTTATGCCACCATCACCACAATCTAATTTTAGAACATTTTTATTCCCCCTAAAAGATACCCCAATAGGCATTGGCATTCTTGTTCTACCCACCAGCCCGAAGCGCCTATTCTGGACATTTCATATGGATGGAATCAAACAATACATGGTGTCTTGTAGCTGCCTTCTTTCACTCAACATAACGTTACAAGGCTCACCCATGTTGTGGCATGTGTCAGTGCTTCATTTGTTTTTATTGCTGAATAATATTCCATTATATGGATGCACCACAATTTATTCATTCATCAGATGATGGACATTTGGGTTGTTCCCACTTTTTGGCTGTTGTAAATAATGAACAGCCTGTATATTATGTAGTCATATTTCATGCAGAAGGTATGAAATGTTTTATACCAAAGAATTAACAGTGTGTATCTCTGATGATTAAATTATGGAGGAGGCTGTACCTTTCTACTTTGCTAATTTGAACTAAGCTGAGTTGTTTAAAGACAATACCAATTCTATTGGCAGAAAACATAACACTCTAGGAGGAAAATGCCAATCCATCTCCTTCTTCCTTTTTCTCTCTTTCTCCATGAGCCTGCACCTGCACTATAAGCATTAGATTAACAAAAAAAGTTTATTTCAAAGTTTTTTGTCACTTAAAAGTCTATTTATTTATTTATTTATTTACTTAAGAGAGAGACAGCACGCACACATGTAGGAAGGGGCGAAGGGAGAGGGGGAAGAGAGAATCTCAAGTAGACTCCCCACTGAGCTTGAAGCCGGACAGGGTGCTTGATCTCAGAACTCTTGAGATCATGACCTGAGCCAAAATCAAGAGTTGGACGCCCAACCAACTGAACCACCCAGATGTCCCAAAAGTCTCTTCTTTAAATGTACCTCTTTTAATTTTTTTTGGACATCTATCTTGATTATCAGAAATAGAAAATTATATATTTCTTCTCCTTTAGTTATACCTTCTATTAATTTTACTCCTTCCCAGAAGATGCAAAGAAAAAGCAGAAAAATTTCACATTCATCAGTTAAAAAGAATTATTCTTTAAAAAAAAAAGATTTTATTTATTTAACAGAGAGAGAGGGAGAGCGAGCGCGCAAACAAGTAGGCAGCGTGGCAGGCAGTGGGAGAGGGAGAAGCAGGCTCCCCGCTGAGCAGGGAGCCCGATGTGGGGCTCGATCCCAGGATCCTGGGATCATGACCTGAGCCGAAGGCAGCCACTTAAACGACTGAGCCACTCAGGCACCCCCCAAAAAATTATTCTTGAGTTCCGTGTGACATCATGTGCGTGTTCTCCGTAGGAATCTTTGCTTTGCTGGATTGAGGCTCATTCGCTGTGATTCTCACATGATGAAAACTCTTTTCTGGGAGATGGGGCTAAATGGTCTTACCTAGAAAGGTGATGTGATTTCTGGTAGAGGCACAAGCTCTCCTAAAGGCCAGTCCCAAGACAATGGGACTGTTGTTCTAACTGGTGGGAGAGATAATTCAGAGTTGAATTATTTACTTTAAAATTTTAGTCATTGATAAAGCTAAATCTTATTGTATGTATCTGTCTGAAATTCACACAAAAGTTGACATTTATTTGAATATATTTCTTTTTCTGAGAATTCACTTTAATGGGTATACTGAAAAAAATTAATTATGTTCAGGAGAACAAATAAATAAAGGTTAAAAAAAAAAAGAGTGATTGTGTAGGTGAGAGAGGCAGTTTAAGTTAGGGGGCAGTCCAAGCAGGGAGGACTGGTGAGGGAGGCCCTGAGCAGGGAGAAGCACGACCAATTTAAGGGACTAAAAGAATGCCCTGTTTCATCTCTGCAGCTGAGGCAGTTGCCGTCTCTGCTGTCCTCCAGTAACACAGGTATCACTTTTTTTTCCCCTAGCAGTATCACTTTTAATTGCTACATGTCACATCTGCTTGCTCCAGGCGATCCCCATAAGACTTCCCCATACACATTTAAAATTACCCAGGACTCGGGCGCCTGGGTGGCTCAGATGGTTAAGCGTCTGCCTTCGGCTCAGGTCATGATCCCAGAGTCCTGGGATCGAGTCCCGCATTGGGCTCCCTGCTCCTTGGGAGCCTGCTTCTCCCTCTGCCTCTCTCTCGCTCTCTCTCTCTCTGTGTCTCTCATGAATAAATAAATAAAATCTTTAAAAAAATAAAAATAAAAAAAAATAAAATTACCCAGGACTCTTGTTTACTAGAAATAAGGAAACTGATTCCTCTCTGGGTATGTTCCCAAGAGAGATAAGGTATCCCTCATTAGAAGGGATGAGATAAGGGGCGCCTGGGTGGCTCAGATGGTTAAGCGTCTGCCTTCGACTCAGGTCATGATCTCCAGGTCCTGGGATCGAGCCCCACATCGGGCTCCCTGCTCAGCGGGAGGCCTGCTTTTCCCTCTTCTTTTGCCTCTCCCCACTGCTCCTACTCTCTCTCTCTCTGTGTATCTCTCTGTCTCAAATGAATAAATAAAAAATTCTAAAAAAAGGGATGAGATAAACATTTTCTTATATATGAACTAATTGTAGGTGGTGGTGAACAGATACATGTTTCTGCTGGTGAGCATGATCTTAGTTTGTGGTCCTGCCTCCCTCTCTTCCTGCTGGGGGAGAGAAGTATGGGTTATTGCTGAAGCTAAAGTGGAGCCCAGCATGAACAAAGCCCTGAATTCTCAAGTAGACAGTGCAGACCCAGGGTCTGTAGAGGACACGACCTGAGTGTTAATGATGAAAATATTTGAGGCTACTAAAGACACTCTGGATATTTGGGGCGCCTGGGTGGCTCAGTTGGTTAGTGTCGACTGTTGATTTCGGCTTAGGTCATGATCTCAGGGTAGTAAGATCAAGCCCCTCATCGGGCTCCTTGCTGAATGTGGAGCCTGCTTAAGATTTTATCTCTCCCTCTCCCCCTCCCCCATCACATGCCACCCCCGCCCTGTAGTCGCTTGCTCTCTCTTTAAAAAAAAAAAGATGCTCTGGATGTTTTCTATGGATCCAGCCTGCTGAGCCAGGAGAAAATCCCCATAGCATGTGGAGAAGAAAGCTGGCCTGGCCAGTCCCTGGGAAAGCTTGCCAACAGTGGACATCAGTACTGTTTAGTCTGAACTGCTCCTCTTCCAGCCTGCTGGGGGAGGCCTAATCTTTATCATATATCCAGAAACTGGAGAGCCAAGGTTCACTCCCCTACCTCTCATTGCCTGACAACCTCATAAGCCTGACCCGAAAGAGAGCACAATGTAAGAACATATACACCCTGAAGGGGAGTGAACAACCTCAATACATGGCTCCTGGGCGCCTGGGTGGCTCAGTTGGTTGAGCGACTGCCTTCGGCTCAGGTCATGATCCTGGAATCCCGGGATCGAGTCCCACATTGGGCTTCCTGCTCAGCGGGGGGTCTGCTTCTCCCTCTGACCCTCTTCCCTCTCATGCTCTCTGTCTCTCATTCTCTCTCTCTCAAATAAATAAATAAAATCTTTAAAAAAAAATACAAAAAAATACATAGCTCCTACAAAGGCAGAGGTAATGGAAGAAACAGAAGGTTAAAATAACACCAACAAAAGTCAAACTTAAAGGGATGAAACAAAATATTACAAAGAAATGTTTGGAAAACAAAGAGTTTTGAAGAACAAAGCTATGATATATAAAATGTAAAAACAAAACAAACCAACATAAAATAGTGCTAAAAATCCAAATAGAAATCAGGAAGAATTTAAAAGCAAAAAAGAGAGAAATAGAAGA